ATTTTGTATACATACAAAATATATATATAAGATTATATAATTTTGTGGATGACTAAATGAACAGAATTTTAATCCTCTATTGTTTCGCATATCTTTTTTTCAGATACATATTATATATATAATTATAATATTAATTAATAATAATATTTATAGATATATATCTATCTATAATCTATTTATAAGATATGGAAAATTAATTCCGATAAATAAAATAAACAGAAAAATTAATGTTGATTAAACTGTAATTTATTATAAAAATATTGAATAAAACTTACTTATTAAATTAAAAGTTATGTAAGTTATAATCAAGGTATAATTTAAGTTAGATGAAACAAAGTGAAAATAAAAACAATAATAAAAAAAATAGCATAATTAGAAATATATACTATATAAGAACTATTTATTTATTAAATTATAATAATTTAAATGCATTAAATAAAATGAAATAGATACTTGAGATATATATTTCTGTCCATAAGTTACTGAACATTTGAATCTAATTAATATTTAAAGTATTATAATTTCATGAAAAAAAATTGTACTATTCATTCAGTTCATTTTAAAATATTAAGTTTCTATTTTCAGAATGATATTTATGCATTATATAATAGAAATGAACATAAGTTTTCGTTAAAAATTTTGCAAATTTAAATTTAAATTTTCTATGAAGATGAAAAAATTTTTTTTATGACTAAATTCATCACAGATTTGAAGATTAAAACTTCTCTTTTAAATGATTCTCCAAAATTCGCTGTATGATTTTATTTAGTCATTCTATTGAATTTTGAAAAATATGTAAAACTGTTTTTCAATCAAAAAGTCTATATTTCTTCTCTTTTTTCTATATAACACAAATGTAATAAAAAAAAATTAAGCAAAAATTTAAAAAGTAGTTTCATATTTTAAATTGAACATGGGTGGATTGTTACACATTTTTTTTTTATAAAATTATAATAGTTTAGATATCAATAATTTTTAATAAAGATTCAAATATTTAATTTATGGATAAGAATATATATTTATTTCCGAATAAGCAAATCTTCATCTTATTTCATCCATTGTAAACTTAAATTATTTATAAGTTAACAAATAAATCTCAATTAATATTTTCATACAGTAATTTTTGTTGATACCTAAAATCGATCTTTAAAAAGTACTCTATAAATATATTAATATCCTTAAAAATAGATTAAAATAAAAAGATTAAATTAGATTTTTGAAAGAATCATTTCTTTTTATTGCTATTTACATAATTTGTTATTGAATTATTCAGTATTTATATTAATGTGTTATTTTTTTATTTGTATTAATTCTATATAGTTCTGCCCGTATAAATAAAATATCTATAAAAATAATAATAAATACATAAAAATATAAGATATAGGATTTTTATGTGATTCTTTTATATAAACAATAATTTTTATATGAAATGATCATTGAATTTATTAATGATTATTATGAACTGATAATTAGATTTTATGAATATATTTGAAAAATGATAAAGATATTTATCATTTACATGAAACTTATTTACAATATGATCTATAAATCATATTTATGATATCTATGTTATTGATGATTATTAAAATTTGTTATTATTTGTGTTATTATTTGTTTATTAATTTTTCTGAAAAAGGATATTTCCAAATCATTATAGCACCGTCCGCACTTGCCGTGACAATAAATGTATCATCTGGAGCAAAGATACAACGAGTAACCGCGGCAGCATGTGCAAGACTTAAACGAATAGTATTAGCAGTGCGATATTCCCATAATTTGATAATAGAATCATCTGATCCAGTGAGAAAATATTGTCCATCGTGACTAATACTTATAGTATTTAACGTTCCAGTAAGTGAACCTTCAACTTCTCGAACTAACGAACCATCCAAGGTTTCCCAATAAGCTATTTTGCGGTCTGTACCACATGTTAAAATTTGAACACCATTAGGAACAAAACAAGTTGCCATGTACATTGTGTTTCCTCGCAACATAAATTTCCTCGTAAAGTTTCTAAAAGAAAAATGAATTAAATCATAGTAATAATTGATATTTTAATATATTCATTTTGATATATTTTTTAAAATTTACATTATTACCTCAAATTCCATAATATACATGTGCCATCAGTACTAGAACTAATTAAATTCTCATTATCTGGTGAAACTTGTAACGATGTTATTGGTCCTCTATGTTCTTTTAAAACTTGCAATAAATATCGTATTTCTGATTTTGCATTCCATATTCGCACCTAAACAAATATCAAGCCAAAAAATTAAAAATCTAAATTTTATTCTGATAAAAAAATATATATTCTATTTTGAAAAAAAGAAGTTTATATACTTGTCCATCACAGCCCCCACTAATAAGTTTACTATCATCGTTTGTAATAGTAATTGTTGATACAGATTTTGTGTGAGCGCCATTAATTTCGAATAATAGTTTTCCACCATTCAAAGCGAATCCTCTTATTGCACCATCGTTCCAAGCTTTTTTAATAAATTAAAATTATATAATATACACATAATTACATATGTATATAATGTAACTTACCAGATATTATAGAATTACCATTACAATTGAAACATATACTAGAACAAATAAAATTTGGTACAGAAATTCGAAGCAATTCTTTTTGAGTAATTAATTTCCATACTCGTATGTCATTTTTACTAGTTGTTGCAAATATTTCTGAATAATTGCTAAAAAAATATGATTTATATTTATTTTGTTTCTTCTTTGTCTTATTTATAACATGTAAATTAAAATCGTTTTTTAAATATAGAAGCTACGATTTACCGTGGAAATGCCACATCGAATATTGAATTCGTATGACAAGTCACAATTAAACGCATATGAAATCTTGCCAATTCAATTTCATAAATTTCACACAAAGCGGTTCCTACTAATATAAATTCATTTTTATAGCGAACCATTGATGTCACCATAGCACATACATTTCTTGAGCAATACTGTAAAAAAATCATTTTTTAATTATTAATTAATTATTAATAATTAAATTAGATTACACTATGTTAAATCAATCATATTTTTATCTTAATAATATTTTTATCTTAATTTTTATCTTAATATTTTTATCTTAAATATCAAGATTTTTATTCAAATTCAAATATATAATGTAGAATATATAACATTAGAAGAAAGAATTTAAATTATTATTTTTATAATTTCAAATTTATTTAACAAATATGAAGCTTTAAAAAATTTTATAATTTTTAGAAATTTTCATGATAGTGAGTGATATATTTTTGAATTATCTTAGAAACTATTTTTTTTTTAATCAAATTCTTTTTTTTAATTTTAATGTTTTAAAAAGTTTAACGTATACATTATATAATATAATACATGTAATATTTAATATATATAATATGATATATTTTATTTAAAAATTAATTTATTTTTA